GATTGGAGCTATTTGTTTCATTTCCGCCTCCATTGCTGCTACTGCTGATTTGGGCTACAGTAGTAGCCACAGCAGCGGTCACTGCAGTGTCCATTTGTGGGCGAGGTGGCGGTGGTGGTGGCGCCGATGTATTGTTCTTGCGCCTGCTATATATTCGGGGCGGCATTTTCTGCCACAAGGTGGAATGATGATAAGTTTTTTTATATGAGTTATGGTTCAGACACTACTGTAATGGAACACCTTGTTTGTATCGAATCTAATTGTTATTGAGAGTCGCTTGTACTTTATAATTGAAATTTGACTGTACCAAATACAAATGAAAAGAAAAGACATAACAGATAACAACATCCAATAAAATGAAATACATATCCGTTTCATTGAAGACAAGGTGCTAGTACATAAGTTTTGGGGAAAATTGACCTTTAAGGATGTCTATAGTACATCAAAAGAAATAAAAAAATATGGCAGCATAACAACCCTTCGAATAGTGTAATCACTTAGACGTAGGGTTGGTCCTACATACAGGAAAAAGGGTAGCACCAACGCATACCCATAAACCTAGTCCATAACAAATTGTGAGTAGGATGAACCCTACTCACGACGGGTAGTCCCTTGCGACCCCTGAGATGAAGTCGAGGCGCCCTGTAGCTCTGCTAACCGACATTCGGCTGCGACCACTCTCTCCTCGAGAGTCGAATGCCTTTCCTAATATTCCCTTACCTACGCTCGAGCGGTGGTAAGGTCCTCAATGATTCTGTCCACGGGATAATAGTCTCTCTCCAAATCTCAAGTCCGCGCATCTGTGACCTCTGCAGCGGCTCCCAACTCCAGAACGCGGTTTGCCGTTGCCCTAGTCTGGTCACCAAGGTCCGTGATTCGCTGAATCATGACTGGGAGGGCTCTGTCGGCCGGTCCCCCGTGGCTGAGGTTATAGAAACCTCGCTAAATGCCGAAAGGAGGGCGCTGGTGCTGGTGTCGGCTCCATCTCTCCAGATCTTCCGCCCAGCGGGGCGTAGGTCCGTTGTAGCCTAAACGATGTGTAGGGACTCGAGCGACGTAAGGAGGGTTTATGACTTCAGACTCCACATCCGATTCCTCCTCTTCCTCTTCCTCTTCCTCTTCGGGCTCCTCCTCCATGATCTCCTCAGGATCCTCTTCTATCCAACCACCATTTCCCTGGTTAGGGAAATAGGGGTCTGCTGGTGCATGGTATCCTGCCATGATGTCTGTGCAAAAAATGTGAGAAATGTATGAAGAATGTAAGTGTATGCACCCTAAAATACTCCTATAGTATTTTAATTGTTTATTTTTGATTCTATAGCTTCTTGGTAAAAATATAGGGTTGGTAAGTTTTAGATTTGTTGTCCACCACGACCCCTCCTAAACACATGTTGGTCATATCTCAAATAAATATAGTTGATCAGGTTATATCAGGTTATATTTACCCTAGATATGATTACATAAGTGTATAAGTTTAATTGCGGTGTCCAACTCTTCTAAATACTCCTTATTATAACATTATTTCTAATATGCATGTATGTATGTACACTTTTATAAAAATACTTATATTTTTAAAGTATACTTTTAGTCAGAGTGTTTTAGCCTCTTTGTATTTATAGTTGTATATATTGTATGGTTTGATATACTAGTTCACTATAAACAATGCTCTGATACATTGCATTGATAGTCAAAAGGTGGCGGAGGCTAAAAATTGATAAATGTTAGACCTTGAATGCTCTGATACATTGCATTATGTCCCATCTTTGAACACAATTAATTCTTAGTGTAGTGTTTTTGACCTTGAATGTGTAGTTCTCTCAATTGCTTTCTGCCCCGGTTCTTTTTGGCCAAATGCTTCAGATGATCATTAGTATTTCCCTTAGCTCCTAATGGTAACTACTTGATGGATGTTATCGAGCTCAAAATAGAATATAAGCCAAATTTTCAGGTGACTGATGCTATTACGTGGACAGAAGTGGTTCCCTTAAAAATGTTTTGATTTGCTTAGAAAATGAATGTTACGAGGATCCCCTTTTTGGTGGCCCTTCAATAACATGTGATTAACATTGATTCACTTGTTTGCACAGTGCCTGGGGTTGAAGTAGAAGACGTTGTCCATATTCTATGTGGTTGTCTGTTCGCTTTTTAGGTAAGGCAACGGGTATTCGTTAGGGTGACACTACTTGTCCCCAACTATCCTCGTTTGACAATATTATTACATATGCAGCAAATTGGGTTCATTGCCCTAAAAAGGAATACTCTTATTACAATCTACTACCTGATGTTGTAGTATATTTTGTCGGAAGGAAACGACATGATTTTCAATAGTTGGTACATTCTCCCTTCCAAAGTTGCATATAACATCATCTCCTTAGGTCATACTTGGGTGGAATGATGTTTTTGTCCTCAAAGTTACATGCTTTTCAATAGTTGATGCATTCTTCGTTCAAAAGTTGCATATAACATCATCTCCTTATGGCATACTTGGATCATCTCCTTATGGCATACTTGGGTGGAATGGTGTTTTTGTCCTCAAAGTTGCATATAACTGTTAGCAGACTCATACTTATGTATTTATATTTGTATATTGTCTTGTATAGTGTTAGCCCAATAACTATGTATGTATTGGCCCAAGGCCCTTCGTGTATTCATGTATTTATATTGATTAATAATACATTTCTATTCATGGGAAAAATACCAAGACTATCATGGTATCAGAGCCTTAATCCTAAGCGTCAATTCCACTCCCATTCATCGACTTTCTCATCAGTCGATCTTCTTCCCCCTTTTTTCTTCTCCTGTTTTCTTATCTTGTTCTTTATACTCCTAATCATTCTTCTTTTCACGATGCCATGAGAATCAAGCACAACAACCATTCCTCACAAAGCCTATGGGATTACAAACACAAAACATATGGCACTCTCATTTTCGATCTCACAACTCAGAACTATGAACCATGGAGCGACTTTTTCAGGGCTCATTGCATTGCTTATTATGTATTAGACCACATTGACGAAACCTATGATGCACCCAACAAACCTCCGACAAATCTAAAGTGGGAGAAACTTGATCAAATGGTGAAGCTTTGGATTTTCGGGTCAATCTCCCAAAAACTCATCACTTCTGCCCACTCCACAAACACTTCATCTCACAAGGTTTGGACTATTCTTCACTTCCTTTTCTATGAGATCCTTGACCGAGCCCATATGCTTCGGTGTAATCTAGCTCATACACCTGTCAAGACTACTCACAAGTTCGAGGTCACTAGACCTCCTGTTTCCGACCCCTATCTCTATCGCAGACTTGCCGGAGCGCTTCAGTACCTTACCTTCACCCACCCAAACATTGCCTTTGCGGTTTAGCATATTTGTTTATTCATGCATGATCCATGGGAACCTCACCTACACACTCTTAAGTGCATTCTGCGCTACATCATAGGGACCATGGACAACATATTACAACTTCATGTTTCCTTATCATCCGATCTTCGTGCATACTCGAATGCAGATTGGGCCGGATTTATAGTCTCTCGTCATTCGAATTCGGGTTACTGTGTTTTTTCTCGATGATAATATCATATCCTAGTCCTCTAAACGGCAAGGGGTCATCCCGCGGTCGAGTGTAGAGGCAGAATATTGAGGCATGACATTGCTAACGCCGTTACCGAGACATGTTGGGTTCGTAACTTACTTCGCGAGCTTCGGTGTCCGCCCACCAAAGCCACTATTGTTTATTATGACAATATCAACTCCCTGTTTATATGACATCGAACCCAATTCAGTACCAGTGCACGAAGGACATAGATGTTGATATTCATTTTGTTTGTGACAGGGTCACTCGAGGGTATGTTCGTGTTTTTCACGAGCCCTCTTCCGTTCAGTATGCTGACATCTTCACCAAATGCTTTCCGACACAACTCTTCAACGATTTCAAGACCAGTTTGAACGTTTGGAATTCTTCTCCCCATCAAAACGTAGGGGATGTTAGCGGACTCATACTTATATATTTATATTTGTATACTATCTTGTATAGTGTTAGCCCATTAGTTGTGTATGTATTGAATCAAGGCCCTTCTTGTATTCATGTATTTATACCGATTAATAATACGTTTCTACAATAACATCGGTCTCGGATGAATTGATGTTTTTGTCCTCGGAGTTGTATATAACATCATCTCCTTGGTACTTGGGTGGGTTGTATATAACATCATCTCCTTGGTACTTGGGTTGATTGGTGTTTTTGTCCTCACTTGTACTTTAAATTTCATTTCTATTTTCTATTGTATCATGTCTTCCCCACGGTCTTGCTAGGTGCAGGTGTTTTCTAATAAATTGTTTTGCTCGTTCCAGAAGAAAAGATGGTATGTGAAAGAGACGATCATAATATGTTTTTTAAAAAAAATGAACAAGCATTTTTATCTTTGGAATAAAAGATAAGAAATAAATCTAAAACTTTTATCTTTAGCCAAAATATGACCAAAATCGTTTGATTTTATCACAAACGTAATTGTCAAATTACATTCAACTAAATTCCTTTACAATCCCAACACCTTAATTTTGTTCAAATATAATTAACGAATAAACCATGGCAGGCAGGACCTATTCATGATCCGGCCCACAACAAAGCGCAATCCTGTTTGGTCATTGGTCCGAGTAGATTCTCGGATAGATTCAACCATTAATATACTAGAACAAGATAAACGTTTGATAACATAAAATTAGTCAAAATATACAAAATGGTCACTATAGTTCATAAAATGACAGCTTTACTCCACAATTATTAACTTTTTTCCTTCATGAAAATAGTCTCTTGGTTTCTATTTTTCAAGTTTTTACGTGATTGCTCCATAGCCCACCATGTAAAATATGTAAAATGACTTTTATTTTGTCCTCCATAATATTACATACAAAAATGACAACACTTATATTTTATAAACGAGATATGAGTTCATATATAATATCTTTGTTATATATTATATTCATGAATATAAACTAGAACAGAGCACTTTTGAACTGATATTCCAAAAGGTTTAAGACCCCCCATTGCAACTAAAACAGATACTAAAACCATCATAAAACAAATGTATACCGCTAACAACCAGCCCTATATAATATATCAAGCAACTTCTTGTGTTCACAAACTACCACCTTCAGAGACCTACAAGTTTCTACGACTTGAGGGTAACAACACCAGACACCATCGTATTCATACCACACATACCTTTCCCTCTACAAAGCCGATAGTATCCATTTTCTCCCCAACTTTTTCCCCATGAGTTCTTGATGATCCAATAAGGCGTGTTACCCAACCTCAGTATTGAAAAACCCTTCGCACCATACCCCACAACCAACACACCATGGTTCAACATCTTCTTCGGACATATCAATGGACACGATACTCCCCCAATGTACGTTTGCATGAACACCGCATCCAATCCAACTGCAACATCATCTTAATTATCGTTTCATTCATATAACAACAATGAGATATTGTTGATGTTTAATTAATCACCTGCAAGTGGGCCATGTTTAACCAAATGGGCAGCCATTTGATCTTCGTCGTTGGGTATGTTGGTGAAGTTTGCGACCTTCACGGCTACTTTCTCAGGGTCAAACTTGCATTCCCCAGACTTTCCGGTGTACGGATACGACTCTTCTGCTTCAATACCTCCGGCTTCGATAAGATAGTTGTAAGCGTTTGTCATAAGTCCACCGGAGCATCCACTATCACAAGCATCCTTCTCCGAAGAATCACACTGTATACATAAAGAAAGATCGGAAGCATGGCGTTAATTAATGTTATCCTATGATTTTTGGAGGCCAAGAGAGAAATCAAACCGTATGATCGCAATCAACGAGCTGTTGCTCGCTTAAGTTACGAAGATTTCCGGTTGCTATAAAATTTGCTCCTTCGATCACCCCTGTGGTACTGAATGCCCAACACGATCCACAAGTACCCTAAATCGATATTCAATCAATTTCTGGTAGTTCAGAAATCAGGAATAGAGAAGAAATTAAGGAACCCTAATTACCTGCATCTTAACCTCTGTGACGGCGCCTTTCTCTCTCCAATCGAAATCCTCCGGCAATCCTTCAACTTCCAATGGCGGTGCTGTTGCTAGGCCGTTGTTCTTCCGGTCAAGTCCACCGCCTTTCATGCCTAAGTACATGCTCTCAAACTCCTCCGCTGACAGATCAGAGAACAGCGTAACGCCATGAACCGCCGTCGGATCCAGCAATTGATGTTCGGCAGCTCTAAGAAGATTATTGGAAAATACACCGAGGCGGTGAAGGTATTCCTCTCTCGTAGAGTACTTCTTCCCGTGTTCTTGTATAAACGCCGTGAACTTGTGTTCCGTCGGAGTTCCGAGAAGGTGGTTGTTCGGATTCTCTGTGACTTGAACTATTACAGGATCTACGGGTCTTGCATGAACGGCTTGAATGGCGCAAGTTAGCACACAGACAGCAGCGGCGTAAGCTAAACCACCACCTCCCATTGTTGTTCCCGGCGAAGCTCTCTTCCGTTCTACTGGCTGGAAAAGCTGATAAAACAAGAATGACAGAAGACTAATTTACTGATTTGCCCTTTTAGGCGGTGAAAGACGCGAATGGAAAAGAATGAGAGGAGGCTAGGGAAGTCATTTACTTGAAAGCTGCCAGGTTGCAACACGTGGAGTGTGTATAATATCATATCGGCTTTAGCTTCATACACGTAGTCCCTACTCACCGCTTTAACCGTCTCAACCAAGAAGTTAGATGCGCAGAAACGGGCTTGGGCTTTCGGGCCAGCCCAGATGTGGGCGGCTGCCCCATGTTTGACTGGTTAATGGGTCATGTAGGTATTGTCAAATTTCAAATTTCATCTTAATGTTCGTTCCTTTAGTTAGGGAAAATCTCATATTAACTTAAATTTCATTCGATTCTCTTATAATTTTTTATAAGAATAAAATCACATTTGACCGTTTTAAAATATACATATATGATATAATACCGGGTTAATAGGTAATATGGGTGCCACGAAAAAAAAAGGACGGTGTCATGCCATTAAATGAATTGGCCATGTGTATTAAGTTTAATTTCAATTGTTTTAAATAAGCAGATTTTGTTCTTCACTCCCCTCGTCCTCATTCAAGAAAAACCTTTGCTCCCACCAAATTTCCCGTCGATGACAATATTCGTCGCAATCAAAGTTCACTTCCAAGGTGTGTTCATCAACATGCATTTTTGCTACTCTGATGATATTTCTCATATGTTCAAGAATATCGATTTTGCTGGTATGTCTCATAAGGGTTTTTTTTTGTTTTCTTGAACGATTCACACAAAAGAAGTATGAAACTTGACTATTGTCATCCGGAATTAGAAATCCCGAAAGCTTTAACATTGATTTCTAATGAACTTGAATATTAAGAGTTTATAGACATTGCTTATCGGTGTGAAGTATAACTGCCTGTGTACATGAACCATTTTGGTACTAATCTGCAGGTATTCTCTGATGGAGTAAGGAAAATGAAATTGAATATAATTTTTTTGTTATTTCAAACATGTCAATGGAAATGGAAGATGGTATTGACCTAACTGGGTTCATGAGTCCACAAAAGAGCAACATCGGAGGAGTAACCTACGAAGGAGTAATTCAGACAAATGGAAATGAGGATGTCACGGAAGTTGAAAGCCCACAAGATGATGGAGATGACAATTTCCCAGATGTAAAAGGTAAACCAAGGTTCAATGAAGACATACCTTGGAAGAAGTACTTGCCAATTCTAGGTATGAGGTTTACCAATCCTAAACACTTGAAATTCATGCTTTGTAATTATGTTGTAGCCAATGGGTATCAATTATACTATGAAAAAATGATAGTATAAGATTATTGGTTAAGTGTTTGATGGTTAGACCACATTTAGGCTTTGGGCTTCATGGAAGACCGAGGAGCATTCATTACAAATCAAGTCCTTTATTAATGACCATGATTGTGCCAAGAACTTTAAATTAGGTTCAATTTTTAATTATAGATGGATTAATAGTCATTTCACCAGGGAAGTTCTTGAGAATGAGAAAGTCAATGTTAGGATGCTAAAAGAGGAAGTAAAAACTAAATTTGGCATAGAGGTTAGTATGGGACAGTGTAGGAGATCTAGGAAACATGTAGTGTCTCTTGTTGAAGGTACCATAGTGGAAAACTATGCAAAGTTGTGGTCCTATGGTGAGTAGATAAGAATGTCTAATTCAGGGTTAACATTTAAGTTATCTGTTAACTCTATGTGGGATAGGAAAACCTACTTTAGCAGGATATATATATATATATATATATATATATATATATATATATATATATATATGTTTTGATGCACTAAAGCAAGGTTAGAGAAGTGGATGTAGAGGGATTATAAACTTGGATGAGTGTTTTTTAAAAAGGAATGTGTAGTGGTGATTTATTATGTGTTATTGGGAGGGATGGAAGCAATCATATCTACCCAATAGTTTGGGCTGTGGTATGTGTGGAAAATAAAGACAATTGGAAATGGTTTCTAGAATATCTTTAAAAAGATCTGCATCTTCAATCTGGGTATGGTAAGACATTGATGTCAGATCAACATAAGGTATGGTTGTGTTCATTATGCTTTAGGTTTTTCAATTATGATCATGTTCTAATTGTACTTATGATGTAAATGTAGGGGTTAATTGAAGTAGTGAAGGATTTATTCCCAAACATAGAACATAGGCATCGTGTTAGGCATATTCTATCCAACTTCAAGAAGAAATTTCTTGGTGCTCAATATGAGGCAATGTTTTGGAAGGCAGGTAAGGCATCAATTGAACCTCTTTTTAATACTGCAATGAAATAGATTCAAATGTTTAGCCGTGTTGCATATAGGGATGAGACTTTTACCCGAAAACCCGAACCAAACCGAACCGAACCGAATTAGGCCCGAATAAGCAATTCGATTCGAGTTTTGGGTATCTATATTATGCTTATTTGGTTCTCAGGTTATTCGGTTCGGGTTACCCAAATAAGAGTTTATTCGGTTCTAAATACCCGACCCGAATAAGGATTGCTCGTCCCCTTTGTCTTATCGACATAAATTAAAATCACGATTCACACTTCTGCCCTCATCGTTCATAACAGAAAAAAACCCTATGCTCGTTCTCATCATTTCAAAATCGACCAATCTTCTCAACTATTTCCAAACTCGAAATCACTTGTCGGTCCTTCCTCTTGTTTCAGACTTTCAAAAACTGACCATTCCAATGAAAGATCTAGTATGCTCAAGAATCATATTAAAGTGATATTGCTAATTAACATATGATACTAATGGGCCACACTAACGACAACTTGATATACTTGATTATTTATTATAAATTGATTTTAATAAATATTCAATAAACTCTTATAATTAATTGGAAATTATTTATTTCTTGGAAATACTAATTTTCATTAGCAAGTAACATATATATATATATATATATATATATATATATATATATATATATATATATCATATGGTATGATTTATTAAGTCATGTACATTATTTTGGACTAGAAAGACTCTTTTGTATTTTAGTTAAAAGTTAAAGTTTATATCTTATAAATAGTTATAAGAATTTTATAAACTTCTCTTCTCTTTTATTTATAAAAAAAGGATGAGCCAGTTTCTAAGAAACAAGACATGCTCTTTTGAATATAATAAGAGAAAGTAAGTATGGCTTAAAATGTATGGGAGACATGTAGGCTTTAGGATATGGAGTGCTTAAAGTGTTAAGAACCCTTGAGTAATGATTTAGCTTTATGAAGGCTTTCATCCCTTCATTTTTACTCACCAAAACCGTAGTTCCCTCATACTCTTTCATATTCTCTCTTGCAAAGAAGTGTTAGAAGATTACTTTGCTTGCATTTTGCTCTTTTTAAGTCATATTTGGATATGGACTTAAAGCTTAAGAGTTTTGACTAGCATCTACATCAAGTTGGCTTCATGTTGGTGTCTCAAAAGTTCCACATTCTTCATCAACTTCCAAGCCTCCCAAGAGGACCCAAAGAACAAAAAAGGTTGTTATTTCTTCATCCTTTCTTTGGTTGGTGTTTAAATCTTCTATAGCTTGCAAGATGATCTTTGGTGGGTATAAAATGTTTATGTTATGTTCGAAATTTAAAGTGTTCCGTTTGCCATGATAAGAGTTTTTAGAAACTATTTTTGAACTAAAACCCAACAATTGGTATCCGAGCCACCTTGCAAGTTTGGTTAGATTTTTTGATTTTTTGAAATTTTAGTTTTTGGAGAATATGGATAACTTGTTTTTTGTATAAAAATAAGTTCATACATATTTTCTATGACAACTTTATAAATTTTTTTTATGTGACAAAAGTTTCATGCATCTTTTGTCATTTAAAGTTGTCTTCGAAAAACAAAAGTTGTTTTATATGTATGTTGATGGGTATGATGTGCATAAAATAACCAAGGACCATTATGATTGTTATGTTGTTGTGTTTGTTGTTTTTGTTATAAAAATGGTTGTAATAATTTATTTATTCATATGGTATGTAATAATTAAATATATTAGGTTTCTTGGTTCATTTTTGTAAAGTAATAGATTAGTTTTTAGAAATAATTTATTTGTACAAAGATGTAACAAGAAATGAAGTTGGAGCCATTTTTGGAAGAAAAAAGAGAAATTTTCGTGTCTACACATGTGCTGGGAAGAATATGACATTTTCTGAAAAGTGTCATGAATGCTACATATGTGGTGGGCAGATAATGACATTTTTTTGAAAAGTGTCGTGGATGTTGCAGATTTTTCTTTAAAGAAATTTCTTCAAATCTTTTGCAAGCAATGAGTGTTTATTTAAATGAGAGCTTCTACAACAACATTACAAGATGATTTTTGGTCCCTTTAAATGTCCCTTTAGGAATGAACTTGACATCTTTTGTGTTGGCTCACAAAAATGTCATTAGTTGGTTATATTTATGCACATATCTCTCTTTATGCATGTTTGTGTTGTTTATTTTATGCATTATTTTGTGTGGCTGATAAATTAGTTTTTCACATGCTGATATAATTTTGGACAAAATAAACATCACATGGAGTTAGTTTTTCAAAATTAAACATAAGATGTAACAAGTTATTTGTTTAAAATAAAACTTGGTTTTATAAAATGTTAATAACGGCAAATTTTGAAATACTTAATTATAAGTTTTAAAATGGTGATTTTTGTAACTTATACAAACTCCAAATATATAAGTAATAAAAGGAAGTTTTATTAAAGATATAAGAGGTTCAAATGCACTCAAATTTAATACCAGTTATTAAAATAAAATTGCGTCAAATTATATAAAAACTAGCTTTTTATATAGAATCTTTAAAAGTGATTTTCTTTTGAAAATAGATACCATGGTTTATTATATGCATGTAATAACTATGATATCATATGTTTTTTAAACTAGAATTATAAAACATATAAAAGACCCCTTACCAAACCTCAAATCTATGCAATCCTTTTTTAAAAACAATCGCACATCTCTTGATGCATTAGTGGGATAAAGGATACCTAACCACTTAGTGTTATCTTTTGATGACCGAGGTGTATTCGCGATTTCTATAACCAATTTATAGGCCGATTACACGAGTTTTTCAAATTGGATGATTTGATCGGAAATCTTTTGTGATAAAGGATACCTAAGCAAGAGAAATCTGAGGCATAGATGAGATCAAACATGTCTAATTAAATTTGTTATTAGAGATCCCATAACTCTAGGAATTATATAGCAAGATATAATTGATAATCGATATCTACCGGGTTGAATTCAAATGGATGGGATAAAGGATACCTAACCATTTATTTGTTTTGCAACTTGGATCCTAGACTTTGATAATTAATGTTTTTAGAAACTAAAAGGGTATTAATTATTGAAGATTAAATATTGAAAATACTAAATGATTTTTGTTAAAATTTTGTAGTTAAATAATCCATTCTCATTATCATAAATTGTCATTTTCTTTAATGACTTAGTGAAACAATAACATCCACTAGATACAACTTCAATGAATGGGTTCATGTCTTAAGAGACAATCTCGTGAAAGATATGAAATTGTATACACTTAAAGGTCCTAATCCTAAACTGTTTGCTTGGAGCAATAAGCCTGAACATGATACCTAGTAAAGGTATCACTGTGATGCTAAAGATGTCTCTAACATCAAACTAGGAAAGGTACATGGCCAAAAAGAATCACCTTGTGTGATCCAAGAGGCCTATGTTTTATGGACTGAACACATTTAAGCCCAAGAAATCTATTAAAGCCCACATAGATGAATCTTGCTTCTTTTGTGGAGAAACTGGACACTGGAAGAGGATTTGTTCCTCTTATTTGGAAAGAAAGTCTGGAAGAGACTAGTACTTCTGGTATCTACTGGATATAACTCATATTTTTCATATAACACTTAGGTACATGGTACTTAAATTTTAATCTAATATTTGTAAATGGATTGCAGATATTTATTGAAGAGTAACAAGCTGAGCACAACCAAGTTGGAGCTACACTCTCGAAGCTTAGTTCATTATATTTATGCTTAGAACATAAAGTAATTGTAATGTAAAACAATACTTGTTTTGGAACAATGTATGTTTTAATTTAGCATATCTAAATTTATGTCTCAATTATTTTATTCAAATGTTTGATAATTTACTTAATCGTTTTTTCATAACAATAATATTCATATTCTGAAATGATTAACTTCTATTTATGAGACCAAATCTCTTAATAGAATTATAAAGTAAATATCAACATTTTATAAATGAAATTAAGTTATATACAAGAACTTTTGACTTAAACTTGTTTTAAATCAAACTCATCTTTGACATTGTTATCTTTATTATATAAATGTCATTCACATATTCTAACTTCAAGAAAAGGATATTTGAAGGCAAATAATGTAGTTTATTTGACATATGTAAATCTTATTTATATATAAAAGGTTCCTAATGATATTTTGACTAAAGTGTAGAGAAAATACTTATTAAGGAACTATAAACTTTGGTGTATGACTTCCTTTCTAATGGCTGTCTGAGATTAAGCACAAGATACAAGCCAGTAAGAACTATCTAAGGCCTTCATGATAATAAAAGATGAATTAAATCTTACTTGGTATGATTTACTTTCTAATCGGTAGAAATATCCCACTTTTATTTCCATGGGATAACACATATAACACTATTAATTGTACCTTGAGTACAAATACCAACTAATAAGTAGATTAAACACTTTATAAGACTTAGTATGGAAAGGCTCCATCCTCATCTTACTTAATGTTTTGTGGATTTGAAGCCAATGTTGGACTAAAGCTTCTAAACCCAAAATCTACTAAATACATAGTTGTATAATACTCTAAATGTGGCTTAGATTATTATATGCAAACCCACCAAGAATAAGTTGTCTTACTATTGTGAAAGCTAAGTTAGTAGAAAGCAAGCTTCTAATGACAAAGCGAGTGGAAGGTACATGGAACTTGAAGCAGCTCAAGAATCATAACCTTATGTAGTAATAGTTGGCACTAGTTTTAACAAGGGTTATTAAACTTGAATAATAGCTATTCACAAACACAAATTGTTCACATTAGTGGTAGAAATCATCCATGACTTGAGAAATGTGGAATCTCTCATTGATGATCTTTAATTGATGGTTTTTGGAAAATCC